AGGGGTGGTGAGGTGTGGGGGAGGGGGGAAGAGGAGAGGGATAGTTCATGGATATTACTCGCCCTTCCTCTCCCTCCCTCTCCTTCCTTCCTCTCTTCCTTGACACCTCCTCCTCCTCCTCCTCCTCTTCCCTCCTTACCCCGCCCCCCCCTCCCCCAGCTCCCAAGTTATGCTAGAAACGATGATATATTGTCTTAGGTCTTAACTTCTAAACACTTGGATAATTTGTTACGTGTGTGTGTGTGTGTGTGTGTGTGTGTGGTGTGTGTGTGTGTGTGTGTGTGTGTGTGTGTGTGTGTGTGTGTGTGTGTGTGTGTGTGTGCTGCCCCTCCTCACACTCCTAATTACCCACACTCACCCTCATAGCCCCCCCACCGTACACCCTCCCTACCTCCCCACCACACAGACACACCCTCACACACTCCTCCCTCACCACACACACACACACACACACACACACTTTACACTCCCCACCACACACACACACCTCCCACACCTCTCTACTCCCCACCACACACACACACACACACTCTCTACTCCCCACACACACACACACACACACACACACCCCTCACACTCTACTCCCCACCACACACACACACACCCTCACACACCTCTACTCCCCACCACACACACACACCTTCACACACTCTCTACTCCCCACACACACACACACACACCCCCTCACACACCCTCTACCTCTCTACTCCCCACACACACACACACACACACACACACACACACACACACCCTCATACCCTCACCTCTCTACCCCACCACACACACACCCTCACACACTCTACTCCCCACACACACACACCCCTCACACTCTCTCTCCCCCACCACACACACACACCCCTCCCACACCTCTCACTCCCTCACCACACAGACACACACCCCTCACACACACTCTCTCTCCCCACCACACACACACCCCCTCACACTCTCTCTCCCCCACACACACACACACACACCCCTCACACACTCCCCTCCTCCCACAGACACACACCCCTCACACCTCTCTACCCCACCACCACACACACACACACCCTCACACACTCTCTCTCCCCCCCCACACACACACACACACACCTCACACTCTCTACACTCCTCACCACACACACACCTCACACACTCTACACTCCTCACCACACAGACACACACACTACCCTGTCTCCAGCAGATCTACCTCCTTCCCTTATGTAAACAGGAGTCAGGTGAAGTGCTCTTGTGTCAGCCGCCCCTTGTGGCTGCCTGAGACTTGTAGTGGTGCTCAGGGTGTTGTAGATTGTTGTAGTGCTGTTGTAGATGGTAGTAGTGCTGTTGTAGTGCTGTTGTAGATGGTTGTGGTAGTGTTGTAGATGGTTGTTGTGGTTGTGGTTATGATTGGAATCCCTCAATAATATTACCTATTTGAATTAGTATTATTTATCAAGAGTAATTTGTGTCTCAGTATTTGTACGCGAGAAGTTAGGTTAGGTTAGCGTTAGGTTGGGTTGGGTTAGGTTAGGTTAGCGTTAGGTTGGGTTGGGTTAGGTTGAGTTAGCGTTAGGTTGGGTTGGGTTAGGTTAGGTTAGACAATGTTCCAGCCTCACACGCTCCACACAGCCACCGAGAGAGATCAAAGTCTCTTAATTGTTCCTGACATTATTGTGTTTTAACCTAATCTGCCGCCGGCTTAAACCATCCCAGTTATTAAGAGCTGTAATACATAACAACACGCTTATCGCTCTTCACCTTCCCACTATGTGTGTGTGTGTGTGTGTGTGTGTGTGTGTGTGTGTGTGTGTGTGTGTGTGTGTGTGTGACAGGTGAAGAAGGGCGAGACACCTGGAACCGACAGGTTGTAGGTAAGATGAGATGATGGTAGAGAGGTAAGGGAAAGAGGAGTAGTGATCAAGGTGTATTGTTTTTACCTGTGTGTTGTTTAATGAGTACCTCTCTCTCTCTCTCTCTCTCCAAGGACGATGTTTACCCCACCACCATACTATGTACACACACACACACACACACACCTTGTTTATAACCAGCCCCACACTGTATATCTTCCACAATATAGCTCCCCCTAGTGTGCCATACATAATGTGGTCTTCCGCTACTGCCACACCGTGTTTGTAGCTCTCCACTCATAGTTATTTACACAGGAAGTGGGATTTTTTTTATCAATGGTGAATCTTAACCTACTGTGCCACCTGTGAGTTTGTTTATACCTGGCGGGTGACTTACTAACATACAGGTAAGTTCAGGGGTTTGTTACACTCTGTAGCTCACCTGTTGATTATACACCCTTACTTTACCTTACCTGACAAAACATAACATAACATAACATAACATAGCATAACAACATAACCTAGTTTATCAAAGAGACTAACCTAACAGAACCTAAACTAACCTAACCTAACCTTATGCTACCCTACCCCACCACCCTACCCTACCCTACCCTACCCTACCCTACCCTACCCTACCCTACCCTACCATTATAAGGCGTTAAATCATTAGGTGAAATACTGTAGGATGGCTAATCTTCAGGTGACCCCTTCATTGTGTGTGTGTGTGTGTGTGTGTGTGTGTGTGTGTGTGTGTGTGTGTGTGTGTGTGTGTGTGTGTGTAGGTGATGCTCAGTTTAGGAGGACAGTCATCACCTCGTCCCAGTTAGACCCTTCCTCATCTCCGGTTAAGGGAAAAAATCTGTCTTAAGTGAGCCAATTAGACGAATTCTCAAGCTCAGGTTGAGAGTGAAACAAGATTATCTCAGAGGAGCTTTGAGAATGTAACTCCTGTTGTGACACTGTAGGAGCACCCCGCTGTACTGACACACTGTAGGAGGACCAACCCCGCTGTACTGACACACTGTAGGAGGACGTACCCCGCTGTACTGACACACTGTGGGGCGTGCCGCTGTACTGACACACTGTAGGAGGACGTACCCGCTGTACTGACACACTGTAGGAGGACCTACCCGCTGTACTGACACTGTAGGAGGACCTACCCGCTGTACTGACACACTGTGGAGGACGTACCCCGCTGTACTGACACACTGTAGGAGGACCAACCCGCTGTACTGACACACTGTAGGAGGACGTACCCGCTGTACTGACACACTGTAGGAGGACCTACCCCGCTGTACTGACACACTGTAGGAGGACCAACCCGCTGTACTGACACACTGTAGGAGGACCAACCCCGCTGCTGACACACTGTAGGAGGACGTACCCGCTGTACTGACACACTGTAGGAGGACCAACCCCGCTGTACTGACACACTGTAGGAGGACGTACCCCGCTGTACTGACACACTGTAGGAGGACCAACCCCGCTGTACTGACACACTGTAGGACACCCGCTATACTGACACACTGTAGGAGGACCTACCCGCTGTACTGACACACTGTAGGAGGACGTACCCGCTGTACTGACACACTGTAGGAGGACCAACCGCTGTACTGACACACTGTAGGAGGACCAACCCCGCTGTACTGACACACTGTGGGAGGACCAACCCCGCTGTACTGACACACTGTAGGAGGACGTACCCGCTGTGCTGACACACTGTAGGACCTACCCCGCTGTACTGACACACTGTAGGAGGACCAACCCCGCTGTACTGACACACTGTAGGAGGACCTACCCCGCTGTACTGACACACTGTAGGAGGACCCCCGCTATATTGACATAGTGTAGGAAGACCTCATTATATTGACACACTTCCTTGTACTTGTTTACTGAAGACAACAACAACAACAACAACAACACCAACACCATCATCAACAACAACAACAACAACAGACCAACACGAGCAACAACATCAACGACAACAACAACAGATCAACACGAGCAACAACATCAACGACAACAACAACAGATCAACACGGGCAGAATCTCATTAAGTGACAAAAAAGACAGACAATTAGCATCAACAATAGCAAGCAGCCGTATTGTTGTCTCCGGGACGAATCCTTCTCTAATGGATTCGAACCTGTCTCGGTCTTCACTTCGAATCCTGAGCAAATTTTGTCTCATTCCCTCACCCAAAGACCCCGGGAAAAGTGCCAGGTATATTGCTGTTGTGTAATTAACCTGTGTGTTACTTGTATGTTACTTGTATGTTACCTGTGTGTTACGGTGGATTGATGTGATGGAATTTTTTACTTACGAGATAAATATAAAACTATATTTAGATTATGTAGATCACCTCAGCTTAGATTATGTAGATTACCTCAGCTTATTACACCTGTTGATTAACACCCTAAAGCTTCCTGAGGGGGTGGAGTTAGGTTAGGGAGGGAGGGAGGAAGGTATAAGGGAGGGGGGAGCGAAGGAAGGAGGAAGAGTAGGAAGGAAGGGTGTAAGGAGTGAGGAGGGAGGTACAGAGAGAGAGAGAGAGAGAGAGAGAGAGAGAGGCCGTGCGATACATTCCCTCTAGCTAAAAATTTCCTGGTAAGAGATGATGTTTCCACCCACCACTACCACCACCACTACCACCACCACCACCACCACCACCACCACCACCACCACCACCACCACCACCACCACCACCACCACCACCACCACCACCACACACCACGGAAGAGGCACCTGACCACACACCACCACCTCACACACAACCACCACCACTACAACCCACCACCACCACCACCACCACCACCACCACCACCACCACCACCTACCACTACTACACCAGAGATGCCACAGAACATCCCAAAAGGCCACGGAACAGCTCCAACAGACCCCAACAGACCCCAATAGACCCCCAACAGACCCAACAGACATCAACAGACCCCAATAAACCCCAACAGATCCCAACAGACCCCAATAGACCCCAACAGACCCCAATAGGACCCCCCCAATAGAGACCCCAACAGACCCCAATAGACCCCAACAGACTCCAATAGACCCCAACAGACCCCAATAGACCCCAACAGACCCAATAGACCCCAATAGACCCCAATAGACCCCAACAGACCCCAATAGACCCCAATAGACACCAACAGACCCCAACAGACCCCAACAGACCCCAATAGACCCCAATAGACACCAACAGACATCAACAGACCCCAATAAACCCCAACAGATCACCCAACAGACCCCAGACCCCAAGACCACTCAATAGACCCCAACAGACCCTAAGACCACTCATTAGACCCTAGGAGTCAATGGTCTTAGAATTTTTTTTTTTTAATCTTAAGTTTGGCTGAAAAACTAAGCTAGAAAGGCGACACCAATTATCGCCCTCCATTATTTAAGATTTTACCCCGCCGCCTCCCCTCCCCCCACCCCTCGCCCTGCCCCGACCCCAACCCCTGCCCCCCGCCCCAGCTTTGTTATGGTGGTATCAGGGTTTCCTCACAACACTCTACACTCCTCAACCAATTTTTAAAACCTTTGTCAATTTTTTTTAAGTTTACGTCACGTTTTAGCCAATTTTAAAACCTGGTAAAAATAGCTAATGGGGGTGAAGATTTTAATAGTGTTTTGGGGGGTAAATTTTAAGCCTCTTTTACAAAATGTTTACTTAAAAAATAATTATCTCTTTTCCACCGTTTTTTACCTTCCATTCTACCCTCTCTTCCCTCTTTCTTCAATCCCTCCCACCCCACTTCTTCGCCTTTTCTCCCTCTCCCCTACCTTCCCACCTTCCTTCTCTCTCTCCTTCCCTCTCTCACTCCTTCCCTCTATCCCTCCCATCTCTCCTACCCTCCCACCTCTCCCCCTCCCTCTCCCTACCTTTCCACCTTCCCTCCCTCTCTCCCCACCTTCCCTCCCTCTCTCCCCCGTCCCTCCCTCCTCCTCTCTGTCCTCCCTCCCTCTCTCCCCCCGTCCTTCCCTCCTCCCTCCTCCCTCTCCCTCCTCTCCCTCCTCCCTCCCTCACTCCTCCCTCCTCCTCCTCTCCCCCACCTCCTCCTCTCCACTGGGTCTTCAATTGTAGTATACAGGCTGCATTTCTGGTATAAGAGGTTGTTGATTTATTTACATACTGTTGTCTTGTACGAGTTATTTTTAAAGTGATTTATGGCCTTGTGGTGGTGGGGGCATTCCTTCATTCATTCCTTCCTTCTTTCATTCTTCCAATCATTTTATTATTTTCTTCCTTATTTCAATCAGTCATTCCCACCTTACTTCCTTCCATCCTTCATTCCTTCTATCCATCCATACTTCCTTCTTTTTTCCTATCATCTTCTCTTCCCTTCCTTCCTTCCTTCCTTCCTTCCCTGAATATCACAAGTTGTTTACACAGACCAAGGAGTAGAGAGATCATTATGTATAGCACTATATTAATACTCAAACATAATTATATTCAATTATACTTAAAACCAATTATATTAAATGACATAAAGTTATTATTGATGTTATATGAAGCGAAAATAAATTATATATAGTAAAGAAATATATGGATAAGTCAGGAATTATATGAGTTTATTTTGTATTTGTCTGCCATTGTATTTTTTTATTATTTAGATGTATGTATGTATGTATGTATGTATGTATGTATGTATGTATGAATGTATGTATGAATATCCTTTCACATCTCACTCTCCACACACACACACACACACACACACACACACACACATCATATTAATATATAATTAGACCCAACCCACCGCACCAAACTAAATTAATATACACACACAAAATATATATACACAGTAAAGTTAACATCTTTCAAAATTACACACACGAAGTTAAAGTTACAGCGGCGAAAATTACAGTGTATGAAGTTAAGTTAATAATACTGTATCCGCCTCAGACATCACCCTAAACGGCACCTTCAAGCGTCAAGTCGTGACTGACTACTACTCAGCGCTCAGTCACTAACTCACCAGTCACCATCGCTAAAGCCGTATCACTCCCTTTTCCTACCGGTAAACTAGTGCGTGTGTACAAATAAATATGTCGGAATTATACACCTTAAAAGCGATATATTAACTTTCGTGGGCTATAATCAAGATCTATAATGCCAGAAAGTACTTATTATGCTGGTGAAATCGTCGTCATATTGTCGAATACCAGTGAGGAAAATTCAATATGGTTATGTAAATATGGCGGACTACGAACGCACTTTAGACTTAATAAAAAACTAATTTGGTTATAAATTATCTTGAAATATGGAGACAAAAATAATGGATGGTTTATGAACTCTCAATCCAAAATGGCGTTGTAAATATTGTACATTTCCAATTTACAAGCCAGTGTAAATATGCTGGACTACGAACGCACAATCCAATATGGCGACGTAAACATTGGAGGCTACGAGCGCAAAACTTTAATATTATGATGTCTCTATATTTATGGCAAAGGATTATCAAAAATTCTCTTGTTAATATTTTTCACTTCTTTGTGTTGCATTTTAATAAAGCCACTTGAGAAAGTTATTAAATCTTTAGTTAGGAGAAAAAAATAACTTGGGAATCTTTGTGAATGCGCTGTCTAATATGGAGGTGTAAACAACTCTCTCATCACTATATAGCACTAAACATCTATACACAAAATCCAATTTCTAATCCACCTTTATCGTAGTTTTTATAACATTAGTGGCGTCTTCCTATTGGCTGAACGGAAGAGCATATCCCTCTGTGAGTATGCGCCATACCTTCGACAGTATACTGGGTCAACGGGGATATATAACTCTGCCACATATGATCGTATGTCCGTGAGAGCATATAATTATTTTAAACTGGAGTGTGGGAAGACTGGTGTGTGGGAAGACTGGTGTGTGGGAAGACTGGTGTGTGGGAAGACTGGTGTGTGGGAATGTAATAAAAGGAATATAGTTTGTTTACATACGATAGCTTTATGGAGGTGTGTGCGTGTGTGTGTGTGTGTGTGTGTATGTGTGTGTGTGTATGTGTGTATGTGTGTGTGTGTGTGTGTGTGTGTGTATGTGTGTGTGTGTGTGTTTTAGTTTCACAATATCTAACTGCGGCTCCATTCATACCACAGTGACACAGCTGTATAGTGGTACAGTGGTATAGTGGTACGGCGGTATAGTGGTACAGTGGTATAGTGGGTAAAACATTAGTTAAGAGATCATAAACCATTAGAATGAAAGAACATTTGGCTGTGTTGTGTCGCAGGAGGGGGCCTGGGGGAAGGGGATTAGGGGTATTGAGGGGGCTAGGGGCCGTATTGAATGGGGTCTAGGGGGTAATATTGAGTGGGGACGGGGGGGAGGAAGGAAGGAAGGGGAGGGTGACGTTAAGGGGTGAGGAAGGAAATGGGGGGAGAGAGGAAGGAAGAGAAGATGACGGAAGTGGAAAGGAAAGGGATGAGAGGTTGAGGACAGGGAGTTTGTAATGGAAGGGAGAAAGAGGAGGGAGGTGAGAAGGGGGAGAGGGAAGGAGAGACGAGAAGCGCACAGGAGAGAAAAGAGGGGAGAGAAGGAATGAGTGAGAGGAAGGAGGGGAGAACAGTAGAAGGGGGTTGAGCGGTGTGTGTGGGCGTAGAGGGAGGGAGGGGGTGAGGAGGAGGAGAGAAGGGAGGGAGGGAGGGAGAGGGGGGAGAAGAGGGAGGTAAGGTTCAGAGTGCCACGTATTTATAGCTGACACTGACCCCCCCCCAACCCCCCTCCCCCCACACACACCTTTACCTCCCTCCTCTCCCTCTCCACCACCCCTACTCCTCCTCTCTCCCTCCCCCCCTCCTCTCTCCCTCCCCCCTTCCTCTCCCCCTTCCCCCTTCCTCTCTTCCCCCACTTCCCGATCCATTATTTACGTCAGTGAGTCTACTACAACTCTGTGGGGGGAGGGGAGGAAGGGGAGGGGAGGGGAGGGGGTTAAGGAAAGGGGTTGGCACTTCCGAGGTGAGGAGAGGCATGAGTGGGGGGGGAGGGGAGGAAGGGGAGGGGAGGGGATGGGGTTAAGGAAAGGGGTTGGCACTTCCGGGTGAGGAGAGGCATGAGTGGGGGGAGGGAAAGAAATATGTGGAAGGAGAAGGAAGGAGAGGTATTGGGGAGGGGAGGAGAGGAAAAGTAGAGAGAGGGAATGTGGGTCTGATAGGGGGGGGGGGAGGGAGAGGGGGGACCGGAAATAAGAGAAAGTGTCTCAGATAATTCTCTCTCTCTCTCTCTTCTTGTTACTTCCCTTCCCCCCCCTCCTTCTTTCCTTCCTTCCTTCCCTCCTTTCTCCCTCCTACTTTCCTCCCCCTTCCTTCCTACCTCCTTCCTTCCCTCCCTTTCTCCCTCCTACCTCCTTCCTTCCTTCCTTTCTCCTTTCCCTCCTTCCTTCCTTCCTCGTGTCAGTAAGGTAATTGGGGTGGTGTGGGAGGTCTGGTAACACTGCCTCACACAACTTGGTATACGCTGTAAGTTTCATCGCTAACTTGGCAACACTTGTGTTTTATGATTCCGAAAACCTCTGTGTGTGTGTGTGTGTATGTGTGTGTGTGTGTGTGTGTGTGTGTGTGTGTGTGTGTGTGTGTGTGTGTGTGTGTGTGTGTATGTGTGTGTGTGTGTGTGTGTGTGTGTGTGTGTGTGTGTGTGTGTGTGTGTGTGTGTGTGTGTGTGTGTGTACTTCACTACCTAAATGTGTGTACATGTGTATTTTTGTGCTACCGTGCTCATGTGTGGACGTGGGGTGCACAATAAACTAGCATCATGGCGGCACCTGCTGTGTGTATTTACGGTGATTAATTGTTTTGCTGTCTCTCCCTCACTCTCCCCCCACTGTCCCTCACTCATTCTACCTCTCCTCACTATCCTCACTCTCCCTCCTCCTCACTCTCCCTCACCCATCATCCACTCATTACCACTCACCACCCACCGGCCTCTCCTCCTCTCCCTCACTTTCTTTCACCAGCTTTCACTTAACCTCTCACCACTTATCAGCCCTCACCCCTCACCTACCCCTCACCCCCCCTCACCGGCAACTCCTAGTGTCTACGCTCATAGCCAAGAGAATTTACGAGGGCATTCCTAACCATATTCTCTCTCTCTCTCTCTCTCTCTCTCTCTCTCTCTCTCTCTCTCTCTCCAGACACCATTGTAAACAAAACCACTGTCGCCCAACCTGGTGTTAATGTGGCCTTAATGACGGGTTGTGTTCAGTCAGCGGCGGGAGTAATTACAACTTTGAATGGTTTTATGTTTTAATTATTATTTATATGCTCCTGTCA